CAGGGATTCGAACCCGCGACCCTCAGATTGTGAGTCGAGTGCCTTAACCACCTGGCCATGACACAGTTGGTGAAATTATATTCATTCAAAATTATAACATTTTCATCACTTGAACGTTTCTGGAAATCATATATTTGAACAAACCCAAGTATGTAATGGCCAATCAAAAAAGTTTGGTATGAATCTATCTCATAAATCTGATACTACAGCTGAGAAATTAACTCAACAGAGCTGATTAACTATGAACATCAATTACACTGATTAGTTTCACATAAAATAATTGTTTTATCAAAAATTAGGGTTTCTGATTATTACTACTTTTAATTATTACAATTATGCAAGTAATCCAAATATCGCCATTTTGATTTCTCATTATTATTTTTGATTAATTCAAGGTTGTACAGCTTAATGGATTAGCGTCACAACTCATGAAAATAATAAACTAACTGAAATTAGTTATTCCAATTACTCCAACTATCCATGTCTGATTGATTACTTAAATATAATCGATTATGGAACCCAACAATTAATTGATTAGAAAATGTCACTGATCAACCACCTATACCTTATAGTAATATATTTTTAGCTTTATAACTACAATTCTAATGAATTAATGTATTATTTTAATAATTTATGCATTAATCTGAAAACAAAATACATACCTAAAAATTAAGAAGAAACTTACCTTAACTTCTCGACACAGTTTGGTGTTACTTATCTTAAAATGAGCCGTTGGTCCATCAGGAAGATGTACTAAGAGCATTCCATCTTGAACAATGTTAAGTCACTTTATAACATACTAATTAAAATTAAACTGTATTTAAAAACATGGTCAATATGTTAAATTAAACTCTATTTAAATACTTAGTCACTGTGTCAAAATTAAACTGTATTTAAAGACTTGATCAGTGTATTAAACCATTTAAAGACTTGGTCAGTGTGTCAAATTAAGCTGTATAAAGACTTGGTCAGTGTGTCAAAATATTCTTACATGGATTAAGCATGCTTGATGATATAAATAAAAGTTTACATAAAAACGACAAACACAAAAAAGAAAGCTGCAAAGGGATACTAGGATGTCTTCTGTCTTCATTTATTAGAACAATGTCTGAAAATCCTCGTTCTATAGCACCTTTAACCATCTTTTTGACACTTGCTCTGTTTCTCCACCGAAACTCAGCATTTGGAATGGTTTGTTTAAGCTCTCTACAAAAACGAATTGTTCTCTGAAATCAGAAAGACTTGAGTTCAGAGTACTTAAAAAAACACTTTTATTAGAAATTTTAGAATATAAAATATTGATCACAGATTTTGGCCAAGTCATCGTTCTCAGATTTCAGATCCCTAAATGCAAACAGAGTAAGTCAAGTTTTTAATGTTCTTCTCCAAACCTATGGATTATCAATCTTATGATCACTGGTAAGTAGATTTGAAACAAAACAAAAATTAATAAATAATTTGGAAGAAAAATGGTGTTTGTAAAAAAATAATATTGAGGTGTAGGTCGACTATTCCCGTTTGTAAATCGACTGCAAAATAAATAAATTATACAAATTATTACTTGTTCATAGTGATTATTTACACAGGGAATATTTCTAAATGTTTTAAGCAATTAGACTATAGCTGATAGAAAAAGTTATATATATTTCAACAATAAAAACAACATAAACAGAATAAGTTTGCTGTTTTAAAATTGTATTCAACTCATTGTGAGGTAAGAAGTATAAATTTTTTTCTTGTGTTTACCACCATTTTACACAGATCCAACAACAGGACAAAGCATTAAATACCTTTCGAACAGTTTCTGAAAATGTCACACTCATTATAGATTTTTCTTTTAAAAGAGGCAAGTATTTTGACATTTTTTAAAAACATTTCAGATTTTTTACTCAATGAGAAAATGTTTACCATTATGAGACTTACAGTGTGAGGGTTGTCACTCGAAGTTACTAAAACTTTTGGTACGTAATCTTTGTTAAAATATGCAGCCATCTCATCCATGGCTTCATCAAACTGTACCTAGTGAGGAAATATATATATATATATTATTTCAGATTTACTAATTAACATTTATGTAAAAAAACAATGAAACATTATACGACAAAAATACTCATCTTCTTGAAATTAATACCTAAGAGAAACTACAAAATAAATGAACATTGGCAGTATCTAGAGTAACTACATGATCATTAACGGCTCAAATTAACTCAACGTATATGATACTGAATAGTTCCAACTAAGAAAACATTTACTGACACCCTCCACGGAAACTTTTTTTCTTGTACTCCACATTTATCCTGTGACCCTCATATTACTTGAATATCTTCTTTGTATCCTACTCTTTCCACTCATCTAGAGCTGCTTTGAAATTAAAATCTTCTATAGCTGGCCCTTCTGCTGAAACAGTCATAAGGTCATCAACTCTCCCTGGTGCTTGGAGGTTTTAATGATATTCTGGACACTTGTTTTACAATCAACAGCATGACAGCTAACTTCAACAGGTGTGATTTAAGTTGATTAATCCTGTGGTACACGGAGCTTGTCTCTTTGGTAACCGGCATTAATACCCCGTTCTTTTACTTTTAACCACCCTATTATTGTTTTCTCTGGACCTACTATATATTCTGCTGTGCTTACACTCTCATCATGCTTATATTTTTGCACTTCCAAATCAGTTAATCAGAGTTTAAATTTTGCTATTAACCCAATCTGAAAGATCATTCTTTAACAGAAACATGATTGGTCTCATTCTAAGAATACCCATTTCATACATGATCTGAGAGTTATTCTGTGGGAACCTTTCATTGAGTTTTTTCCACACGTTTCTCTATAAATGTGCTTTTCAGTGCTTTAATGTTTCTTGCACCCCTAGATTTCACAGTGTGTCAAGAAAGGATTGATGTTCTTCAGTATCTTTACATTTGTTCAGTGATCACTATTTGTCTGGACTGCAGACGCATCCAAGTCCGTTTTATGGAAAACCAGGCACTTCTCATTGATAATAGGTGGTATGTATCTCAGCATGTATGTAGTGCCTGGTAGATCCACCTTACTTCATGTAATTCCTTTATCTTGATGTCATCTTCTTCTTCCAGTAGCTGCTGTGTCTCTTTCAACTTCTTACATCTATTTACTGAAGCCTTAAAGACATAGAACATTCCAGTCAATATCTCTGGATACTCTGTGAGACAGGCCTCGACAAATCCTGGGCACCAGGTCACCGTGGTGACTAGAAATTTCATCATGGCACCTAGTAGTTTCTCCCATTTTATTTGTGCATTGGGATATGCAAAATAGAACTCCAATCTAGAACAGTTCTGGACTCTTGGAAGTCCAAAACTATTTTTGCATTCTACGAGGCCAAAATCAAACTTTGTTTCTAGGATTTTAATGGTGGAATCGGCACTTCTTCATGTTTTTCAGGAACGAAACACTGCAGTCGTACAACATGTTACTAAGCTTGCTCAATTTTATTTTTCTTCTTTTTCTCAATTTAACCTATCAGTGCATGTGTTTAGGCTCAGGCAGTTAGTTCAGGCAATATTATCAAGTGGTTGTTCATGCCATGCAATTGTTCGCATGCACTCATTGCTGTGAAAGTAACTAAATATATGTAGTCCACATTTCTCACACAAACAGTAGTAATGTTAGGTTAGGCACACCTGGCTCCTGAGTTTTTGGACTGGTTCCTAGATCTAAAAATATTTCTCGAAGCCTTCTTTAAGATGAGGTATTTCACTAGCAGCCTGTGAGATGACTAATGCTAATCTGTGTGCAGTGCAATGATAATTCAAAACTAGAGGATTTTTCTTAGATGTCCAGTCACACCCTCTTTTACCCATCATAACTTTTGTGCCATCACTTCTAAATACATAAATCTTTGACATATGTACCTGTCTCTGTTTTAAACTTTATAAAATAGCTTTTGAGACTGTTGCCCCTGTCCCATCTCTAACCTAAACAGTTCTCACTAGCATGATACTTGGTTCGATTGTTTCTGGATTCAGCACATGAGCATATACTCAAAGTTTTTTCCATTCCAATGTCACAACACTTATCAGCTAATATGCTGATAACAAGTGAATGCTTCAGTTTTTTGTCAATATCACAACTCATCAGCTAATATGCTGATAACTAGTGAACGCTTCAGTTTTTTGTCAATGTCACAACTCATCAGCTAATATGCTGATAACTAGTGAACGCTTCAGTTTTTTGTCAATGTCACAACTCATCAGCTAATATGCTGATAACTAGTGAACTGCTTCAGTTTTCTTGGCAATGTCACAACTCATTAGCTAATATATTGATAACTAGTGAACATCAGTTTTTTGTCAATGTCACAACTCATCAGCTAATATGCTGATAACTAGTGAACGCTTCAGTTTTTTTGTCAATGTCACAACTCATCAGCTAATATGCTGATAACTAGTGAACGCTTCAGTTTTTTTGTCAATGTCACAACTCATCAGCTAATATGCTGATAACTAGTGAACACCAGTCTTTTGTCAATGTCACAACTCATCAGCTAATATGCTGATAACTAATGAACACCAGTTTTTGTCAATGTCACAACTCATCAGCTAATATACTGATAACTAGTGAACGCTTCAGTTTTTTGTCAATGTCGCAACTCATCAGCTAATATGCTGATAACTAGTGAACGCTTCAGTTCTTTGTCAATGTCACAACTCATCAGCTAATATGCTGATAACTAGTGAACGCTTCAGTTTTTTGTCAATGTCACAACTCATCAGCTAATATGCTGATAACTAGTGAACTCTTCAGTTATTTTGTCAATGTCGCAACACTTATCAGCTAATAGCAATTGAAGACAACATTCCATTGGCTATTGTCAACAGTGCATAAATAGCCTTCTCAGACATTTATTTTGTTCATATTAGGGACACGAAGTCCCTGTAGGAATGGTGCCATACCTTCACATTTAATTAGGGGTAAATCTTCTTTCACCAAGTAATACACAGTTTTCATACACTATTTTTCTTTATCACTCAAAATTTGTTTTACTTGTGTTTTGATAGCTTGTTTTAGTGGGATAATTTCCACACATAATTTGCGATCCCCTCCTGCAGCGGGCCTGGTCAATTTGCTGGTCCAAAAATTACAGGATCTTTTTACAAATGAATTCATATGGTTATATTCAATACACAGTTTACAAAACATCAAATTTTTTATCTAAGTCATATGTTAGCCAACAAAATTTTTCTAACAGGCATGCTGAAGCATTCGCTGGTCATGTTTACTTTCACTTTCCTGGACTGTAGAAGACAAGTTATTTTCAGAATCTTTTAGAGCCGTTACTTTATTTGTATTTCTCGTTTCACTTTCTGTAGATACTGCTGCAGTTTCCGAGTTTTATTTTGTTTATATTTTTTTGTGAAGAAATGAAGAATGTTTTGGACTTCAGGGAAGCCATTGTTATAGGAAAAAACTAGTGAAGTCGTTTGGTCCAACGAAATATGATGTCATGTAGTATTGGCACTCATGGGTTTTAACTCAAGTAGTTTACTGTGTTATTGCAAATGCACCGAAAAAGAATTAAATTTGTAAATATTTTTGAGGTCATTAGTGAGAAATACGAGCCATGACCACAAGGGAACATCCTGAAATTAACACTGTTAAAGGGTTATGTATGTTTCTTAGACTTCCTCTGATCAAAAATTTTCAGGGACTTGCATTATCCCCTAGAAGCCTACTCAGTGTTTTTCTAGCGACTGAACTAATGACATGGAAAAGTAAACAACTTCAACTTATTTGTACTTTTGTCACCTGATGATGCCAGTTTATCAGTAATAAATTGTCAAGTGTCATTACACTGTTGTTTTTACTACGTAGTACTGCCAATTTTCATTTATACCAATCTTTTAAAACAAGAAAATTATCCAGTAAACCTGTCTAAAAATTTGCAGTAGTTCTTAAAAAAAATGGTATTACTATTTTGATGTTTATCAAACTGTTCAATATATGTCACATAGAAATAATATTTCAGAATTTTGTGCCAATAATAATAAAAATAATTTTACAGGATTTTAAAAAAATAAAACTGCTCAATCACAGATACTTAGTCATTAAATTTTACATTTAAATAGCTTTCAATTCATAAACACTTACTTCTTCATCTTGAGGGTCAACCATTGCATCATCAGGTTCTCGAGTGTTTTCAATGGTCTTTGGAACTTTCTTTGGTGGAGCCTTAAAAGAAATCAGTAAATATAAAGACAAGTATACTACATGCATCTTCAAAACATTATTAATTCTAAGAACTTATGATTTAAAGTAAAGACAAATTTAAAAATATCATCAACCACATCCCAGCGGCTCTATCCAATGCCAATGAGGCCTTTTGATGAGTACCAGAGCTCATTTGGCCAAATGGGATACGACAGATGTAGCAGTGGTCAAGATGCTATCGATATCATACAGATGACTTCAAATTCAAACAGTGAATAATTTGAATAGCAAACCTTTCAAAATTATAAATACAAATATATTTATAAATAAAATAGATTAGTTGTTTATATAACCAAGTTATCAATAAATTACTTACAGAATCTCCAAGAGCTTTTGCTTCCTTCAGTCTTTTCTTTCTTGCAATTCTTTTCAGCTGCATAAATATACTGACATTATTATATACATTTATGAGAAATGCATCAAAATATTGTTGAAGATGTTTAGAATAAAATAATGTGATATCTTATAAGCATTATTTTAATGAAATCATTAGGAATAACGTAACTTCACCTTAGTCAGCATTTCTACCACATAAACATTTTGGTAAATTCTTTATTAACATTACTTTATATTCAAATATTTTATAAACCATAATAGTTACAGTATGTTTATGTGTGTGTGTATCAATATACTATAATAATTGAGAAGCAGTGAAAAACATCACAATTATAACAGACAAAACAATGTGATGAAAGTTGAACTGAAGAAAACTAATATATGGTGATGGAATTTAGAATTTTTTTTAATGTACCATAATAACTGCTAACTTTAATAAAGGTGAAATATTAACATAACATAATATAATATTTTGGGACAACATGGGACCTATTTGTCCATCTCGGCTGTTCCATCCTCAAAACTAAATTAAAATAAAAAAATTTAAACACGGCCCTTTCCATTCATATACTTATCAAGCTTTTTCTTAACTTCACTTAAATTTACTGCCTCTACAACATCTGAAGGCAATCTATTCCAAAGGCCAACCACTCCGTTAGAAAAATAAAACTGTCTTAGTTGAAGATGACTCCTACTTTGCCAAAATTTATATTTGTGTCGCCTAGTCCTACTATTCTCATTGTTAAATATAAAAAAAGATGATACATCAACACTATCAATTCCCTTTACAATCTTAAACACCTCTGTCAGAACCCCACTAACTCTTCTTTTATCAAGAGAAAACAATTTGAGAGATTTCAGCCTATCGTCATATGACAACCCCTCCATCCCAGGCACCATTCTAGTAACCCATCTCTGAATGCTTTCCAACAATTCAATGTCCTTCTCAAGGTAAGGAGCCCAAGACTGAACACAATATTCCAAAAGTGGCCTAACCAGTGACCTGTAATGAAAGTTTAACCTCTTTAGACTTGTATTCAATATTTCTAGAGATACAACCTAAAATCCTATTTGCCTTACCACTAGCAACAGCACATTGCTTGGATGGCTTTAGAAACTGATCAACTATTACACCAAGATCCCTTTCCTTCATAACACTATTAAGGTTATTCCCATCCAAATTATACTTATAATTCAAAGTATGATAACCCACATGCATTGTCTTGCATTTATTATAATTAAAACCCATCTGCCATTTATTTACCCAACTCACTAAATGATCTAAACCCTTTTGTAAATCAGCAACATCCTCTTCACAGCTAGCAACACCCAAGACCTTAATATAATTTGCAAATTTAAGTCATTTATTGACTATCCCTTCATCTACGTCATTGATATACATCAAAAAATGCAAATGTCCTAAGACTGAGCCCTAGGGTACCCCACTTGTAACATTAATACAATTTGACTGAACTTATTTGTAACAACCCTCTGCTTACTTCCATCCAGCCACTCTTCTATCCAATTTGCTAACTTATCCACCACACCTATAGAGCTAGATTTTTACAAGCTTTTTATGTGGCACCTTGTCAAATGCTTTCTGAAAATACAGATATACCAAATCTACACCTTACCCTTATCTACATAAGCAGTAACCTTTTCAAAGAATGTTACAAGATTTTCCCCTAGTGAAACCATGCTGACTATCCAACAAAATTCTAAACTTTGTTAAATGACTTTACAAGGCATTTTATAACAGACTTTCTAAATATTTCCCCAAAACTGATGTAAGACTAATGGGTCTATAATTACTGGGACAATTTTTATAACCTCCCTTGAAAAGAGGAATTACATTAGCTAATTTCCAATCCTCTGGTACCTGCCCACTATTCAAGGACTGAGAAAAAATAGTAGTAAGTGACTCACACACCCAATCTTTAACCTCCTTCGAAACCCTTGGGGAAATATTATCTGGTCTAAGAGCCTTATCATTTTCTAAACTTCCCAATTTTTTCTTAACCAGCTCAGAATTAATGCAGTAATTTTGTTGGAGGATCTCGTTTCCATTTATCAACTGATCAAGAGTGAAATACTGCTTAAGAATCTTCATTAGTAAAAATTCGAAGAAAAAGTAAAATTTAGTAACCCAGCCATATCATAATCATCAGATATTAGCCTTCTTTTAAAATCCCTATCCTAACACTTTGTTTCCCAATTGATATCAATACCGTTAATATTATAAAGGAAAACTCTTTTATCACTCAGTATCAGTCTATGCTTAGTACTTCAGTTGAACCTGTCCAGTTCATTTCTGATATTTTATACTGAAAAACTTTAGTGATGCAATCTACTTTATTGGATTTGGAAATACTCGCTTCACTTCTGGACCAGACAAAGTTTCAAGTGTTAGTCCGAAAATACTAGAATAAATTACATTGTATCCTGTACATGGTATAGTGATAGGCCTAAATTAAAGGTTTAACCCTAAAATTTTTAAGTATAACTTAGCTTATAATTCAAATTTTACATACTCTTTGTTTTTCTTTCTTCAATTTTACATATTCAGTCATTCTTCTCATTTTGTTTCTAATTTTCGATATATTTGTTTTTGGTAGAGATGTATCCGGCTCTTCAAAATCTGCATTTTTAACACTTTCCGGCACATTACTATCACCTGAAGAAAACGCCATTTTTCTCTGTTCAATAACAGCGTCACCTCATAATTATAACTTTAGATAATTTTATATGTAGTTTAAAAATTGTAATTTCTATTAATTAAGTATAATATCTTGTCCGATATATTCTGTGAAAACAAAATAATAGCGTTAAAAGTCATTAGTCCTCATATTATATTTCAATGAATCAAGAGAAGGTTCGGGACATAAATCGTTAATTTGCTTGAAATCACGATTTAGTTACTGATGTGATTTTAATGATATTAGTTGTTTTCTGTATAAATTACTCCTCAAAACCTTGATAATATCAAAGGTACATAAAACAACCTAAATCCCATTGACAGTGGTTTTTGCTTTGCGTCCATTCTTGAATCGAGGAATACAATAATTTATTTGATGTACACACTTTATCGGAACTTATAATTAAAAACAGAAGTTAGAGGATTTGGAACTGGTGGATCTAACATTTGACCAAGCGGTGGAGACCGCTAATGACAGAGGCAGATGGCGAGGTCTCTCTGACCAATGTTCCCAACGGAACGGGAGGAACTAAGACTAAGAGCACAAAACAACTCATCAAGTATTATTTTTGTGCTAGTGCTGTGTAGAGTATTAAATCACTACGTCCTAAAATTATCATCATGAAACAGCAACAAGAACAACAACACTGGAAAAAAGAAAGCTGTACAGTATAAACTATTTATTGTTTCATTGCTCGTGCCCTTAATACATAAACGAGTTATTAAACAATTTTCCTTGTCTAGTATTAAAAAAAAACGCAAAAAATACTAAGATTTGAGATAATATCTATACATACATCCTAAAAAATAATATAAAAATAGATTTTATTTTTATTCTTTTATTATATGAATTTGTGCCAAATTGATAGAAAGATTAACATAAAACACATTAATAAGATCCAACAATGGAATTTGTATTTCGTCGATAGTCTATAACTTTTGTCGTATTTTATTTAACTTCTTATTCTAATTACATTTAAAGGCTAACATAAGTGTATTTTACCTATAAAGAAGCGTTAACATAAAGTTATTTGCTCTATTTGATGACACGTTAAAGTTAAGTTTCATTCTACTATCTTAAGATTTCACAATAAAATTCAGATTTGTTATTATTTTTTTAATTTTCAGTGATGAATGAAGGATGGAAAAAATTTACAATGAAGACGACAAACAACTTGAAATGAATGCCTTTTTCAACGTCTTTTAACCTGTGGAATTCACATCTTGCTCATTTGTTGTACCTCAATGAGAATAATGTGTTCCCACTCATTGTAGACGGCGTTATTATGATTAACAATAGATAATCTGAAATCCAATTATTAAACATTTATTTTGAAAAATAAAGTTCGTTTTAATATTTTATTTAATTCGTATTAAAATTAGTATTTGGAACGCAAAAGTATAAAAATAATTTAATATAGTATTAATGCATTGAGGCTAATATTTGTCGTATATATATCGGCGGATATGATAATATTCTTTTATGCTTGTCTCATTCATTAAGGAAGCGAAAATGGCAGAGAAAGGTCGTCGTTCAGGTGGTTTGGAACAACCGGTGGTGAAAATCGGTCTTTACGTACTTCGAGAGACTCTTGGTTTTGGGTCATTTGGTAAAGTAAAGAGTAAGTGAAAATTAATTAGTTTCATGTTGCTGTTTTTTTTTTTCTTACGAATTACATGGTGTAATTTTAGTTTTTTTAAGTTGTACTTGTAATGTCATTGATGTAAAATTCAAAAATCACTTAAAATTTTAAATGTGTGTTTAAATTATTTCGTTTTTCACGGAAAAAAAAATTGAATACTGACAAAAAAAAAAAAATTAAAAAGGGCGGGCGGGGGTACCGTAGTTACTTCTCGCGTACTTAATACTATATTATAGTACATAATATATATATATATATATATATTTTTCTTTCGGTTATTTATTCAATGTTCTTACGAATAAGTCGAAACTTGAATCAACAATTAATAAATTAAATGTACTTCTTATCTTTTACAAATATAAATTATCAATAAGATTCACTGTTAAATCTAACCGGTAATACAAACCAAACGTAGTTTTACTCTCGGGTTGTAATTTGCTTTAGCAGTTAGTTTTTGAAACACGTATTTAGCTGCTATTATCTGTACGCTAATGCTAAAACTATAAAGTAAAACTGTCATTTAATGTTCGTAATTAAGCTTTTTAAAGTAGTTTAGGATATCTACATTTGTAGTCTCATTCTACGGTCAAAAGTAAGTATTAATTTTTTAAAATTCCTAATATACAGCTGAATATTTAATATGTAATTAAAGTGCTGTACACTAAATATTGTCAAGTTGCATAAATCTTATATTTCGGGGTAAGTTGTAAATACTTAATGCCTGTCAGTTAACTTTTTCTCTACTATAGTTGCTGAACACGAGATCACTGGTCATAAAGTAGCTGTTAAGATCCTTAACCGGCGGAAAATAAAACTTCTTGAGGTTGCCGAGAAGATTGGGAAAGAAATCAATAATCTCAAACTTTTTCGTCATCCTCACATTATCAAACTGTAAGTAATTTGTTTTCCACCCTTTTTTAACATTTATCTATGGACGGTACATCGTGTAACATGGTTTTCTAAAATGTATAATTATTACACGTGAATGTACATCGGAAGTCAAGACTTAACTAAAAAATAAAAACAACGTAATTATTTCCTTAAACAAGAATATTACCACTTCTTTGGTTTAAAATTCACTTGTCCTTTCATTCATAGCCAAGGTGATTTAGCGTTGTCATTCTTAAAGTTCTCTTTAAAAATTAGTTTTTAACATCGTATGGTTAATCTGTTGCTTTTGTTTGTGCTCTTCTGGATTAACTTCTTTCTCTGCAGGCACCAGGTGATTAGTACTCCAATGGATATATTTATGATCATGGAATATGTTCCAGGTGGTGAACTTTTTGAATATATTAAGAAGCGTGGAAAAGTAAGTTTAGAAACTTTTAATATTGCTATGACTTGTTGTCTGGATCCTTGTACATTCTTTAATAACAACGTAAAAAGTAACTTTCTAAGCAGCAACAACCTTATTTCTTCAAATTCCATGGCAGGTGTAACCTTCATTCATTAATAAGCTTAACTTCTCAAAATAAGTTATGCCTAAACAGGAAATTACATTTGATTTCTTTGTCAGAATATAACTAAACACTGACTAGTAGGAAGAAACAAACTGAACTGTATGAAATGATTCTCCCTAAAAAATGCTAATTCAGTGTATTCTAACTCATTTTCTATATGTTTAAAATTGTTTTTCTAAACTGTAAAAAATTCCACACATTAAAGCCATACTCATTATTCATGTTTTCCTATATCCTTTTCATAAGTTAAAGGCTTAGACTTCCTCCATTTGCATATCAAAGCAGGCTATAAGTTAACAAAGCTGTAACAATAGTACTTAATTACTGACCCCTTTCTCTTTAAATATTTTAATACCATTTGTTCCTTAAGGATGCATGACAAAGATTTTTGGTAATCTGTTTACAGCTAAAGGAGTCAGAGGCTCGTAGGTTCTTCCAGCAGATAATTTCTGGAGTTGATTACTGTCACAGACACATGATTGTACATAGAGATTTGAAACCAGAAAATCTCTTGTTAGATAACAATCTTAATGTGAAGATTGCAGATTTTGGTAAGTTGGTATAACTTCTGTTTAACTGGTTGAATGGAATTGCTTTTCTCTACAACTTTAGTTTAAGGCATTTGAATGACAAAAATTACTACTGACTTCACCTAATTCCTTAAACATTAGATTAACGGATATTTTAATACTTCATGTACAATATATGAAACAAATGTTACATCAAACCACATACTGTACTTCTAGAAGTTAGCTAATCTCTATTTGATTAAGAACCTAATTTTGAAATTATTTGTTGTAACAATATCCATGTACTCTTGAGATGACTGACCACCTAGAACAACAGCACTGTCTCTAAGATGCTGATTATAAAGGTTTCACTTGCATTAATAAAATGATTGTTTGTAAGTATGGAAAATAAGTGTACAGTAGATGTTAGTTCATTAAACAATATTTCACTGAAACATAAATAACTAAAATAAACCAAGTTCAGCAAATGTTATGCAAAAGAAAAACCAACCACACTAGTGTACAATGTAAAATTTATCTATATTAATGCAATGAATATTGAACTTTATTACGTTTCTGGAGATCTGAATCAAAATGTATGCACTGACACAACATGGGGTTTATACATTTTTTGTTGTTGTTTATCCTGTATGGTATCCCATACTTCTAGATTACCTACACTAGCAATCATTTTAAATAAATGTACTCAAGAAGGATAAAGACTAAACAAGTACAAAACTCTTTACTATGTACTTAGTTTAGGATGTGATAATACAGACGGATATATTAAATCTACTTTCTGAATCTAGCAGAAATAACTTAATGTTAACGAACTTTGACAAATATACCTAGTACTTGTTTAGACTTTTTCGTCAGTTGTTCATAAAATTGGGATAAATGTGTAATTATGTAAACTTTACATTCTAGTTTTTCTTGATAGGCCTCTCAAACATGATGCTCGATGGAGAGTTTCTACGAACTAGCTGTGGATCACCAAACTATGCATCTCCTGAGGTTGTGTCTGGGATGTGAGTAGAACTTCTCTTGTAAAAGATTTCAAGTAATTTAAAAAAAACAACAACTTTGTTATATGGACATAAAGTGTGTCATAAAGATACATTGTATGCTTTTCACATGTGGGTGGAGGAAAAAGAAAATATTGGAGCTAGACTTTAACACAACAGAATAAGGTTTACCTCATTCATTCATGTCTTGTGTTAATAATTTAAATTGCAACTTTACATCAACTTTATGAAAAGTTTCCTTATTTATTTTTTAATCCACCTTGTGCTTTAGTTGAATGGCTTGATCTTGTTACTAAATAGTATTTCTGTATTCACTTATAATTTACTTTATACGACACTAGGCTTAGATTATCCTTCTAATTCAAGTTAATATGAGAAATTAACTGTCACTAGAATATTTTTCACTTAGTCTCCATTTAATAAGATTAAACAAACTTGTGTAAACTAAGTTGTCTCACTGTAGCTTCCATAAAATTGTCATTAGTAATGCTTGGAGATGGCTTGAATGGGTAATGAAGAAAAACTTTTAGTTTAACATAACAGTAAATGTACAACGTTTCAACAAGGTTTTGTCATCATTAAGTTATGTTAAACTTGTATTAAAGTTTTTCTTCATTACCCATTCAAGCCGCCTCCAAGCATTATTAGTCTCAAAGTGGGTTCCTCGTCATCTAAATTGAAATTGTAATTAGGTCACTGAAGTAGAATGAATCTTTCTTTGAAAACATTTGAGTTTAATCTTCCACATAACAGGTTATATGCCGGTCCAGAAGTTGACATCTGGAGTTGTGGAATTATTCTTTATGCTCTTCTCTGTGGAATGGTATGAAAGTGATCTTTTTAAAATCTTTATTTCATTAAAATATTTTAACAAATTTCTTAAATATTAGCAGTCATTTTTGTTAAACCATTTTCTTGTGTTTTCTAATGATCAAATTAGATTCCCACTGCATTAAATCGTCAGCCATAATCAGTAAGTTTACCTAAATCAAACTTCTAAAATAACTAGATACTTTTCTTAAATAATTATCTAATACTACTCATGTTACTGTAATTCAGTTGAACTTACTTACTATGAATACCACTAATGATTATTTCATAACACCTATTTTTAAATACATATCTACTTACATGAATATAATATCTATCTACAATATTGTAATTTTTTTTCTACCTGTAATTGGTTAGCCCAACTACTAAATTTGTAATTAATGTTGATTGGTGGAACCTATTAACGGATTATATTTAACTAATTTATGTTATTCTCTCATCACATTGGATAGCTATTTTAATATTTAACCCATTCACTACAGCTGGGACATATTTCCCAGAGCACTGGAAAATATTCTGCAGTCAATGGGTTGAACAACTTTAATTAAAACTGAGAAATTATAAGTGTAATATTCTAATTATCTACTTAGCAATAGTAAATTAAAATTGGTAGTCGCCCAATTAAAATAAATGGATATAACAAATTAAGTGTCCCAGTTGAGGTTAAACAATTATTAATAAATAGAAGGTTATTACAAAATTTCTTTTACAATTCGTTTATAACTATATAAACTAGATAACTATTGTTACTCAAAGATGAACCTAATTATATCCTAGCTGTGATTTTTAACATCAAACAAATTTTCTTAGTAAACTGTTTTTAATAAAACAAACTGTACTGTAACTTTTGATATTTTCAGCTTCCATTTGATGACCAATATCTTCCAGCCCTCTTCCAAAAAATAAAATGTAAGTTAGTTTATTTTGATAACCAAACTTCCCTTAATATTGGTATATTTAAATGTTATTTTATTTTTCGACTTTTGATGACCATAGTCTTAAGCCTAATTTCTCCTTAGTTTTCAAATTAATTTTTCTAGTTATTAACTTAAAATCTGGTCTACTGTCTCTGTTAACTTTGAATTTATCAAATCTACTCTTCCTGGTTTTGAATGTCATGCTGCTAGTTGCATCTCCCTGTTCCTGGCTATCTCAAATATGTTTTAAACTATAATCTTGTGTATTGGTTTAGCTGGAGTCTTCACGATTCCTGACTATCTCAACAAACCTGTTGTCAACCTGTTATGTTGCATGCTGACTGTGGATCCTATGCAAAGAATAAAAATGGAAGATATAAAGTAAATAAAATTTCTAGTTTAAATCAATATAATAACATAACTTGCTGCAGTGTTATTATCTTAAACTAAAGGAGTTATGTTTACTACTAAATTTTGATCCTAAAATACTGTACTTCAATATTTGACACATTTACTTGGATACAACTTTGTTAATCTTTACAAGATTTAACTACTAAATGAATGTATATTTCTTAACACCATTCTTAATTTTATGGAATCTTTGCAGAAACCATGATTGGTTCAAGAAGGACCTTCCTCCATACTTATTTCCTTCACCCATTTCAACTGATGCTTCAATTATAGACACGTATGCTGTCTCTGAAGTTTGTGAGGTAATAAATTGTTTGTTATTGTGGAAACATAACCATTTTTTTTTCTACATCATTTCATGAGGTAAAGATTTACATTATCTACTGTGAAATTTTGCCAGAAATACGTAAATCTCAAAAATAAAATGGTTGAATAGAAATCCATTAAATTACTCTAACTGCTTATTTATATATTTTTTTTTCAAAACTGATTAACATTTTGCTTTTGCTAACAAAATTCTGTTTTCTTTCATTATCCTTTATTTATTTATTTATTTTTTAGAAATTTGGGGTTCAAGAAAGAGAAGTACATTCTTCTTTGTTGAGCACAGATCCACATGATGAACTTGCTGTTGCCTATCACTTATTCAAAGACAACAAACAGTTTGAATCAAGACCTAATTTGAAAGATTTCTACTTGCCCACAAGCCCAATGTCAGAAGTAAGTAAGAAAAAAAAAAAACCCTAAGATTTTCAAACTCATGTTTGTTTTGTTTGTTTGTTCTCGAATTTTGCCCAAAGCTACACGAGGGCTATCTGCACTAGCCGTCCCTAATTTAGCAAGGAAAGAGTCGAGGTAAGGCAGTTAATCATCACCACTCACCACCAACTCTTACTAATGAATAGTGGGACTTGCCATCACATTATAAAGCTCCCATGGCTGAAAGGGCGAGCTTGTTTGGTTGGACAAGGGTTCGAACCCATGATACAAAAATTGTTAGTCAAGTGCCCTATCCACTTATCAGGTCCTAACTCTTACTTGCATTGCTTCTGTAGTTTAATGTGTAAAACTAACATTCCTTAAATGATAATAACAAAAAAATCTTCTCTTTTGCAGGGTGATAAACCTCATCCAGAACAATTAAAAGGTGATTTATTTTCCTTTATGTATAAATAACTGAATATAGAACTTTATTTTAGAACATTTAGTTTTTAGGAATTTATTTTTAGTTCATTAAAAATATTTCTTCTACCTTTATAAATTGTACAAATCTCTGCTCTTTTCTTCCTTCACAAGTCTTTTGTTTGTAGTATGTTATTTATTATAACTTAATACAATTTAACTAAACCAGCTAAAGATCTAAACAACGGGGAACTATAACTGTAGATCCGTCCATGACTGAATGATATCTCTACTCTTTAAATATAAAATGTAATTCTTAGTCTATTTCCAGGACGTCATCGTTGCCAAAGTGGTCCAGTTGGGAGCACTACAGATAAAACTTCAAAAAAAGGGAAATGGCATCTTGGTGAGAAGAATCATGTGTACATCACGTATAATCAGACTGCATTAAAACTGACCTTCAACACTTAAGTTGTGCCTGTTCCATTCCACCCATTCTCTCCCACCAACTTACATTTACCTTTTATAGTTCTTAATCATATGTTAGATTTTCAAGGAACCATATTTTCCCATAATGCCTCAAATGAACAATATTTTCCTCTTGTACTTACCCCCTTTTAAAGCTGTTTCTTATACTGAGTAGCTTAGGTCTTCCTTAACAATTTTTTTTTACTGAAATGGAATGAAAGATATTTAATTAAATCTTGACATACAGTTTTACAACAAAAGTAGTAAACTTTAAACATTTCTGAACCTTTAATGGAGTTAAAGTAACTTTATTAAGTGCTTTTCTCATTTATTAAGTTTCAAATCATAAAACTTAAGTAAACACATCTTAATACTGTATTTTTTAGACTTTATATGAAATTAATTCTAATTTTTACTTAAATCATTATCTATCCCCTGTCTCTGACTAGTTTTCAAGCAAACACATGAACTTACCCTATTAACAGGACTTCTGAATTTCAGGTATCAGATCACGAAGCAAACCTTTGCACATTATGAATGAAGTGTTTCAGGCCATGAAGGCTTTGGATATGGTAAGATTGTTTCTCAACTTTCCATAAAGTTGAACTTCTTATGAAATTAAGTATAGAGCAAAATCTACATAAACTGTTAGAATACCACTTACTGTAAGTGGAGCAAATTTTTACTAGGAATGTTTCAGAATTTTAAGTTCTGTAACTCAAAACCACACTGCTATAATTCAATTTTCTTTCTTTCTCAAGTCTGATTTCAATATAAACTGTAAATATGCATGATGTAAGAACAATTTAACAATGCCCCTCCCCCCTTTAAACATGTGTTTTGGGCTTTCTTGTAAAAAGTTTATGCTTTTTATTTTCTATCTGATAAAACTTCATAATACAAAATAATGAATTGGAAGTAAAGATTAATTTTATAGTATTAAATTTTTTTTAGACAATTACATGTAGTTTTATTTAAAACAGTTCACACCCTAATGCCATTAGTTTGGATTTTTTTGTTGTTGTAACGAAAGTGCTTTCACTACAAAAATTTCGTAAACACCTTGCATGCATATCTTGCAGGAATGGCAGATCATCTCCCCTTTCTCTGTCCGTGTTCGTAAACTACATCAGTCAACTTCAAAATATGTGAGTTCACTCTATTTTCAGTCTTAAAAACCTTTGAATCGCTTAAACAAAACCAGTATTTTGTAAGCTCATGTACACCGTGATTAGGATGTTTTAACTTTAGATAGATGTGTTTGACATGCATATAATATCTTAGTATGTCTGAAGTAAGTTCATAGGGAATTTAACTTCTTTGCTGAGAATAACATTTTCTCCATTTGTATTCTTAGTCTTAACTTCAATTTTTTCTTTCAAAGAGTTCCATAATAAATTAATCTTTATAACAGGTAAAGATGAACCTTCAGTTATACCTAGTCGATTATAACAGTTGCCTACTAGACTTCAAATCTTTCGACGCTGACGAGAATGTGAACAAAAGTAAGTGGTTCCATTAAGCACGTTGGAATTTTTTTTTGCTAACCTGTAGTAACTTAATTACAATTTTTTTTTTTTTATTCAATAAGTACATGATCATATAAAATATTAATAAGGTGGTGAATATAAATAGTGTAATAATGAATTTTATGTCTTTAAACTTTTAACTGAAACTGTTAAAACATTAAGTTCTTTTCGATATTCTATTGTCTGAAATAAAATTAACAAAGTTCTATCAGTAACCATTAATAAACACTTTTTCCAGGTCAATCAGCCACTCCTACCAAGTCCCCTCCTACTAACGAGAGTCGCCATGTTATACACTTCTTTGAGTTGTGTAGCTATCTCATTGCAAAACTTGCTTGCTGATAACCTTACCATCTTAAGGACACATTTAATCAAATTCCAGGAACTCTTGAGCAGTTAACGTTTTTTGTACGAACTACTTGCTATAAACCACTTCCTACAACAGAAGGAACTGTTTTTGTGGGAATTTTGGAGAATATAGCTGATTAATTGCAGATGAGTTTTGATTTCAAATGAAAGAAATCAAATACAAGTCAATGTTAAAACTGCTTGCTGAAATAATAAGTTGTCACGTTTAATTTACCTCAAGTACTAAGATTTCTAAGTTCTGAACACTTCGTAACTTATTTTAACATTTTGTATTCTATTTACACAGTGAAGCAGGCAACCAATGTTAAATTTTAATTAAGGCCTAGTTTTTAGTTATAGAACAAAATTATTTTATATAATAGTGTTATACAAAACATCTAATTATATAGTGTTATTATTGTAAAAATACTTTCCTAACATTTAGTTTCAGTTTTATTTGTATATATGAAGCAAATAAAATAACAGATGAAAAAAAGTAGGCTGGGTGTGACTTCATACTTTGTATAAAGAACATTAGTAACATAAATATGAAAAATTGAAATATTTTTAAACCACCAAAGATTAATCTACATGAACATTTTATATCTAAAACTCCATTTACTTTTCACTTCAAGGTGCCCTTCAGTGAAACACTAACCTTATCTTGTATTTAATGTTTTTTTCATGCTTAATACAGTTAAAGTGCCCAGATAGTTCATGATGTGCCATTATACATGTTAATTATTGTTATCTAATATCAACATTCAGTATAAGTAGTAATTTATATCAGACTAGGTTAAACTTCCTACCAATAAATTTAAAAGGATGGGGGTCACTAATTCAATTGAAATCTTAATTAAACCTGGTCTCATCTATGTTAAACTTAAACATAATTAGACAGAAATAAGTCTCATTTCAAGACTGAATGTTTGAACTAAACATTGTGTGGTGATTCGATACCTCTGGCCCTCCTGTAAGCCCTTTACATAAAGGTTATGGCTAATACTGCCCTAATGAGGGGAACTCTCAATTTTTAATCCAATGCATCTGAATGAAACAAATGATAAACCAGAAATTTAGAATCTGGAAAGTTTTTATTTTTGAATATCAAATCTACATTTTGAAGGTTCCATGTTATGCAGATGGAGTTGTAGGAGCAGCGGCTGCACGCTTCAGTGTTTTCGGTTTTATTCCTTCCTTGAACCCATTCCTAAGAAGAAAAGACTTTTGTGAAAACATACTTTGCTAATCAGCCAAAAAACTAACATTCGTTACTTTCATGCTGTAACTTTAAAAGAAACATCATGATAAACTTAATTCCACGAATAAGATGAACCCCTGTATTGTTTCCTAATGGTTATAGATCTAAATAGAAATAATGCAATGATTCAGAAAGCAGTAACTAAATAGTTCCTTAACTATTGTAATATGTTTGCTAGCAATAAGTAATTCAATACAAAGAAAAAATTCAAACCTAAATCTCTGCCAAACTTTTTTGAGATGGCGTAGTCTTCCAGTTCCAGTGGTGTTCCTTCTTTTGCCTTTAACACTCCAGTTGTCTGTAAAAACAAATATTATGAGGTACCAACAGTAACACTGTAAAATTAAAGTCAGAAGCCATAACAATCAAAGTATTGTTATCTTATTTCACTGATCTATAGTTCTTATTTCCAGTCTTTGTTTTTTGTACAACAAAAAATCTTGACAAACTCTGGAACTATTTTACATTATAACAAAGACACCTGAATTAAATACTTACAATGTCTTTTCTTCTTATCTGGATAACCACACTGAGCACATCTGGACTTCTGAATGTGGTAACTACTGCGTCCACAACGACGACATAAGGTGTGTGTCTTGTTGTGCCGTTTACCAAAACTTGAAGTTCCTTTAGTCTGTTTACATGTGGAGAGTAAAAACAGAATTTTTCATACACTATTTGAACTCAAAAATTAATGGTTTTTTTTCCCTCAAATTGGTTACTAATCATAATTGATTATTCAGTAATATAGAAATGATAAAGATGACCTCTGGTCATTGATTAAAAAGATGTAACTTTTCTTATTCATGAACTATTATATACATTATCAGTGAAATATCCTGTAACTCTATAGCTCAAAACTGTTAAATAATTTTGCCAAAAACCAAATTTGAAAGTGGGCTTCTAAAGATTAAATATATCATAAATAAGTTTAAAAACATATTTCAACCCATCAAAATAAAGTTATGAATAACACCTTTCAGCTGAAGAATTTCATTATCCATAAACTTCTAATCTAATAAAACCAAAACTATAACAACCAACACTAGTGCATGGCGTAATTGTGGTTAATAAACAATGAATTG